GCCAGAACGACTCCTCAGGGCAGAACCTGCACCACAGGGACCCAGGGTCTATAGTTCAGACCTAAGTCCTGCCAATCTGTCCAGAGAAGAAACAAGTTTCCCCTGCACACAGGACARTCTGGAGTAGGAAGAATGGAGGGAAACACTGAAATTCTGAGGGTTTTGGTTTTATGTCTGAAAAAACTCAGTTAAACTRAAAGAGAATGGCCATTGCATGGACAAGTACTTTCTTGGCCCAGACATGCAACCATATCTTATTCCTGTTTATAGATCAGGAAACAGTKTGTATATGGTATTAGGAATCCAACCCAGGGCCTCCGGCATGCCAGGCACACAAATGATTGTCCAAGAGTCACACGGCCTGATCTGGGTAAAGCCAAGATTTGGCTGTATTAGAAGACCTGGAGCTGCCTTCAATCCATGTTTCAGCCTTCCCTTCCTGATAGCCAGCCCAACAGRGGCTCCCGAGGAAGTTTATATCAGTTACAGAAAACAAGGATACCACATCTACCCATTTTTGCACAATCTGAATGTGCTACCTTTGGCTCCCAGGAGATGGAGGTTTAGAGAGCTGTGCCATCAGGAATCAGGTCTATCCCCTRCGTGAAGGCTGGCTTCATAATCAATCCATCTCAAGCAAGTCTCACCTCCTCCACTTCCCACTGTTGCCGGATTCTCGYGGAGAGACAGGGCACTGGGGATCAGCAGCATGCAGCCTTGTATCAGGCAGGCACTGACCGGCCGATTTGCATCCAGAGGCTGAACCCCAAGCACAGTGGGGCGTTGTCTTATGTACCCCCAGTTTCATGCTAGCTTGTCTGACTTCCCTGTGTGGTAACATACATTTTGATTGGTATTGGACACTATACAATTGTAACAGCGTTGCAACCTTGTGGGGCACCACCAATTTGACAGTCAGCAAAGTTGCACCTGCACACTGAATGTGCCTCGYGGGGTTTTGTCTTGGGGGTGCATGCGCACATAGTTATTAAGTGCTTTCCGTCACTTTTCGCTCAGTCCTGGGAGAGCCCTAACCACACCACACATYGTGGACAACAATGGCTAACATGTCTAGCGTTCACATCGTCCTGAGCCCTCCTACGTGCCTTACGCATGTGATCCTCTCAAGGACTCTCTGAGGAGGGGATTGCTGCTGACCTCTTTTTTGCAGAGGAGACAGAGGCTCAGAGAGGGCAAGTGACTTTGAAAGCTCACATGGCCAGATGAAGACACACCCCATGGTTTATTCAAAGTCCAGCTGACACCAGATACACCCTGTGACAGGGGTGCTCATCACCCTCCAAGTTGCCTACACAGGGCCAGTGGCATGGACACATYAAGGTTTTGACACAGTCTTTACAGGAACCATAACCCCAACATGAAAGCCGGAAGCCCTGGGACCCAGCTCCTTCCTCTTGCATCACAAGCCTTGACTTGTAGTGAAAACTTCCCCCAAGTAGCCGGGACAGAAGGAAACAGAAACAGGCTCACATATGGGCCCAGCTCAGACTCCAGCACTCACCAGAGAGCAGAATGCCRGCCAGTCTTGGGGACCACAGGACACGCCGGGCACCCTTCACAACAACCACCCCCACCCATGTGGCTCACTCACCTGTCTGTTTCCTGCAAGTGGCACTATTCCTTGTCCTTTCAGGTGAGTGGGATCTGGAGCTGAATGGGGTCCACCCCTGGTTTGTCCCAGAGAAAGGCACCAAGTGCTTTGGCATGMCAGGAGGTGTCTGACCCCAAGAGTGCGGGTTGGGCTTGGAGGGGGACATCGAGAACTCTCCTGGCCCCAGCAGAAAGCTGATCCAGGGTCTCAAGAGACATGGGGAAGTGACTAAGTCCCCAGGCTCTGGGCTTGAGCCACTGGGTTCTGGAACTTGGGAACTTGGGTGCCCACGTCTGATGCTGAGGCTCTGTGAGCCTCTGTTTCCCCAGGGATCCTGTGAATATTAGATATCGAAGTGGTGAAGCTCAGACCTGGACCTGGCACATAATTTGTGGGGGCCAATGCAAAGTGGAAATGCAGGTCTCTTGTTGAAAAAATATTAAGAATTTTGAGACAATAAGAGTCAGGCACTGTGGTTCCTGCCAAATCCAAGATACTCTGGAAGCTGAGGCAGGAGGATGGCAAGTTCGAGGCCAACCTGGGCACTTTAGAGAGACTTTGTCTCGAAATAAAATAAAAAGGGCTAAGGGCAGCTCAGTTGGCAGAGCATTTGCCTAGTATGTGAGAGGCCCTGGGTTTAATCCCCAGTACTGCAAAGAGAAAACAAAAGGAATTTTAAAACAACAGCAGGGCATTAAACCAAGCTGTCTACACGAATAAGAATGGAATGGGAATTACAAGAAAGGTCAAACTCAGGGCTTCGAGGACACAGCCTATTGGAGGATTATGAACCAAGCCGATAGCCTCCAATACTTGGTGAGCATGGATTTTGATCAGTGCCCCTGCCTAGAAGCTATGTAAGCCCCTAGACTAGTACATTTAAGTGGAAAAACTTGCTATCAGCTCCCCTCGGCCTTAAGGGAGTTCTCTCTTTTTTCTTCTTACTTAATTAAGTCCTATCTGTTCACTCTTGCCTTCCATCACTGTCTGTGGAATTTATTCTTCAAATTTGTGAGAGAGTAACCATAAAGAAATCGGTGAAGCAGAGAATCTAATTTCATCTCAAACTCGGGTTTCATCAGCCGGGGACCCCGTGTGATAACACACACCACACTCCCATGAGCCAGCCTTGGCATGTTTGAGACACAGACACAAACCCCACCACTGACCACTTTAGGTGACKTCTCTCTGAGCCTCACTTTTTCCCATCGGTAAAATGGGGCCAATGGTAAAAGCCCTTCATGACTTTCCTAGGACGACTCGACAAGCTGACACCTGGCGTAGCATAAGGATTTAATAACAGTGGCTATAATTACCATTATACCTATATAGCTCCCCTGTTTCAGGGGCAGGCCTGTTTAGCTCCTGAGCCTTGGGGATCCTAGGACCAGCTCAGTCTCTGAGTTCATTGCCTTCCTTTCCAGCAGGCAGCCTCCATCCCTACCAGGCAGCCTCCCTCCATCTCCTGTCCATCTAGGCCCTGGCCCCAGGTCCTACTGGTTAACCCCAGGAGAGGTCCCAGTGGGATGTACATGTGGGGCCAGATCCTCCCTGGTTCAAGAGTCATGTGACTTGCTGCACTATATCACTTCCCAAGTAAGCTTCTTTCATTGTAAAACAGGTATCATAATTCCTGGTCACTCATTCCACAAATACTATTTATTTATTTATTTTTATTTATTTATTTATTTATTTATTTATTTATTTATTTTGGTACCAGGGATTGAACTCAGGAGTGCTTAAGCATTGAACCACATCCCCAGCCCTTTTTTTATATGTATATTTTTAGACAGACTCTCACTAAGTTGCTTAGGGCTTCACTAAGTTGCTGATGCTGGCTTTGAACTTACGATCCTCCGGCCTCAGCCTCCTGAGCTGCTGAGAGTACAGGCGTGCACCACCGTGCCTGGACACAAATACTTTTGACTATTACGATTTAGGCTGTAGACAAGGAAGTCATAAATCTAAACTACCCAGAGTCAGAAATACCTCAAATGTTTGTTTGCAAATATTGATTTTCTTCCAGGCTTTCAAAGGTTACCCTAAACAGGGAACACAAAAGGAATAAGATACACCACGTTATACCACAAATTACGTCCTAGGTGGGACCAAGTTATTCACAAGGCCTGATGAGAATACAGATGAATGGGGAACTCAGGGCACAAAGTTAGTGACCTTGTGGTGTAGAACCTTAAAGTCATCTGATCTGAGTTCAAATCCTGCCATGACACCTGCTGAATGCAAGTTTCACCTCATGTTTCTTCACCTCTCCGAGCATCTTAAAAAAGTGGAGAGAATAGCCAGGTGTGGTGATGCACACCTATAATTCCCACTTCCTGGGAGGCCGAGGCAGGTAAAGCCAGCCTGGGTAATTTAGGTAGACCTGTCTCAATGTAAAATAAAATAAAAAGGAGTTATAGTTCGGTGGTAAAGCAACCTGGGTTCAGTCTCCAGTATCATAAAAATGGAGATGACAAGAGCTTCTACCTCAGAGCCCCTGAGAGGAGTGGGCGTGACAACCCAGGTGTAGAAGAACTTCCACGGAGGCTCCCGCCCCCCTCTCTTGGTACCCCCTCTGGGGCCAAGTAGACCCACTGCACAACACACGAATAGCAGCTGCAGTTTGTGGAACTCACAGGAGGCCGGAGGAGCTTTACAATGAAGGGAACACCACACCAGCCTGCATCCCTGAGCGGCAACATTTGAGGGTGACAGTCCGGGGCCCTAGGAACACATCCTTATTGGGTGATGTATTCGTCATCACAAAGTATCACAGAATTAAAATGTATTTTCTCACCACTCTCAAGTCGAGAAATCCAAGACCCAGGGGTTGTCAGGGTGGGCACCTTCACCATCTCCCTCCTTGGCATGTAGACGGCCACCTTCTCCTTTGTCTTCATATGATCGTCCCTCTGTGCAGATCGGTCCAAATCTCCTCTTTTTTCAAAGGACACTAGTTAGATTGAATTGGAGACCCCCCAACGACCTCRACTTAACTTGATCCCCTCTCTCAGCACCCTAAGTACAGTCACGTTCTGAGGTGCCTGAGGTCAGGACTTCGACATGTGCATTTGGGGAGGACACCATTCAACTTCTAGCAGAGGATCCTGGGCGAGCTACCCACCCTTCAGGGCCCCTCCATCTCTGCTATGAAACGGGGATGACACTTCCTCTGGCAGAAGAGCACTGTGAGGAACAAGTGAGACAATCATGCAGCGCCCAGCAGGTGGTGGCACTTAAGTTCCCGATTCTTGGCAGAGCTTCCTAGGGAGCTGTGTTCCCTGTCTGCAGCCAGCTGTTCCGCCCCTGACTCCCCTCTGCCTCCTGTTCTGAGCACTGGCTCTTGGCTAGATCAGGACTGGATCCATTTAAACTTGGCATGCAGGGCTCCGAGGCCTTCTGACCCCGTGACAGGCCTTTTCCCCTCTGTCCAGGGACCTCTGAGCAGAGCAGCTGGAGTGAGTGGCAGGTGCTGCAGCCGGAGGGCCCCATACTGGTGGCTGAAGGKGACACCCTCCTACTGAGGTGTACAGCGGTCGGCTCCTGCGCTGATGATATGATCAAATGGGTCAAAGAGAGCTCTCAGGACCAGCAGGAAATTTATAACTTCCAGCGTGGCTTCTTCCCTGGAGTGACATCCGCGGTGCAGCGGACCCGGGAGCGCCTCGACTGCGATTATTCCATCTACATCCACCGTGTCACCAAGGAGCATTCTGGAACCTACCACTGTGTGAGGTTTGCAGTCTCCCGTGAGGACCTAGACACGAAGCTGGGCGAGGGCACCGCTGTGACCGTGCAGGGTGAGTGGCAGGCCCAGCTGATCCCGCACTCGCTTCGTCCCCCTCCCTGTGCCCCCTGCGCCCTCCTGCTCTCCCGTGAGCCAGCGCAGTCTCAGTGGCACGCGGTGGAAGTATTCCTGCCTCCCCCACACCCTTGCTTTGCAGCTGGGACAGTTCTGCCTCACGTCCCCTGCCAGGACCCAAGCTAGAGAGCTAGTAACTTGGGTGTGTGTGTGGGGGGGGGGGGGGGGGTCAGAAATCCAAGTGGCCCAGAGGCAACTTCCCCCAAGAGCCTCTGTGACATTATGTCTGCTGATAGCCCATTGGCTAAGCAAGTCACCTGGCTCACCTCCAAGTCAAGGGACAAGGGAGTCCAGGGCAAGAGTGGATCTGCCAGGCTACCAGCCGGGAGTCAAGACCTGAGGCTGGCTGCCAATGTCATTTGCCCTGATCCCCAGGCAATCAGTCCTGGCGTCTGGAATTCCTGCCATGATGGCAAATCCTGCATCTGTTGTTCAATAGCTGTGAGGGGTTTTTGTTTTGTTTGGGGGGGTTGCTTGTTTGGGGTTTGTTGTTGTTGTTTGTTTGGGTTTGTTTGTTATTGACTGGCACTGGGGATTGAACCCTAAAGCTCTACCACAGAGCAGCCACCCCAGCCCTTTTTTTTTTTTTTTTTTTTGAGACTGGAATCTCACTAAGTTGCTGAGGCTGGTCTTGAACTTGCAGCCTCCTGCCCCAGCCTCCCAAATGCTGGAATGCCAGGCATGTGCCACTACACCTGGCAGCAGTGTGTTCTTACATGAGCCTCTTCAGCTGTACATATTTCAAGTGCTTACCTTGTAAAATAGGCAACAAAATTTCTACTTCACGGTGCCTTCTGGTGTTGAAACAGAAGAAAGCCCGCTGGTGAAACCACCCCTGTTTCCCTGGCTCCTTCCAAGCTGCAGTGGTACCTTCCTTGGGGTTGTGGAGCCTCAGGGGACTTTGCTTAAACATCTGCACCACCACAGGACTTCAGGAAGGGCAGTCAGCCTGCAAGGCTCTGTCTTCCCAACATTGGTCCCCGGGAGATAATTAAGATCTCCTTATGGAATGAATCAACTGGTAAGGAAGGAAGGGAGGGAAGGCTGAGGACATAAGTCCCGGGAGGGGGAAGGGAGGAGAGCTTTGAGGGGGAAATGAGTGGACCACRAAAGGAGAGAGGGAATCCAACGAAGACCCTCTCTGACTTCAGGCGCCGGGGACCCCAAGCCAGACCTGTGGATCATCCAGCCCCAGGACTTGGTGGAGGTGACCACCGGAGACACTGCCCTCCTGAACTGCACGGTGCTGGGGGACGGTCCCCCTGGCCCCATCAGGTGGTTCCRGGGGACTGGTCTGAGCCGAGAGGCCATTTACAACTTTGCAGGCCTCTCCCACCCCAATGTGACAGCAGTACGGGCCTCTGACAGCGACTTCAGCATTCTCCTGCCAGACGTCTCGACCAAGGATGCAGGCACCTACTACTGTGTAAAGTTTCAGAGGAAATCCAACAGACAGTACCTGTCCGGACAGGGCAGCAAGCTGAGAGTGAAAGGTGAGGTAGCCTGCCTGGGACAGGTGGTCCAAAAGGAACTCTTCACCACATCCCACACACGCCAGCTCCTATCCAGCCTCCCTATCATTGTGAAAGTTGTTCCCTCTCTCTGGAACACTTTCTCCTTCTCTCTAGAAAACTCCTATTCATCCTTCAAAGCCCAGTATAAACAGCCCCTCYTCTGTGAAACCTTTTTTTGTGTGTGGTGCTGGGGATTAAACCCAGGGCTTTGTACATACCAGGCAAGCTCTCTACTACTGAGCTATATCCCCAGCCCCTCTGTGAAACTTTTTCACCCTTCTCTCAGAGAAAGTTAACTTCTCATGCTTCTGGGCTCCATCAAACTTTGTCTAGACCATTAAGAATTTTAAAAGTGTCTGTAACCTGCCTGTTGAGAGCTCTGCACTGTACTTGGTGCTGGAGATGCCGCAATGAATCAGACATTGGCTGCAAACCAAAGATGCTCAGGCGAAGGTCTGACTAGTCCTTTGTAGTCGCAGGGTTTGACTCTGTAGCCCCAACCCAGGTATTGGCAGATTTATGTTGGTGACCTCAGCTCTTAGCCCAGGGGCTCAGGAAGTAGAAAAAGGTTAAGAGAAGGGCCCTGCCTCTCTCCCTTACAGCAAAATCCACGTCGCCCACAGAGATCAATGAACCTGCAGTTCAGGCATCTCCAACAGGTGAGTAGACCTCCCTCTGGTAGAATTAATGAGCCCCCCATAGGCAGTGGGGACCACAGATGGCTTAGCCACAGCAAGGGAACAGTCCCAGGGTTCCAAGAAAACCCCTGGGGTTCATCTCAGCTGCAGAGTGGGGTACCCATAGAGCCACGTCATAGCAGCTCCACCAAAGACAGGGCTTTCCAGTAGCCAGGACTGAGTGTCGGCGGGCAGTCTTGCTGGAGAGGCAGTGAGTCCCCCTTGACTCAGAGTGCGAGGCTGCACTGTGAGGCCACATACAACAGCGCTGCAGGACATGGCTTTGTGGCCGGGCCTCTTGGGTGGAGCCCCTTTCCGGCTKTGTGAGCGCTGGAGGGGTGGAGGGGGGGGGTTGCCTTGCTCTATGAATCTCTGCTGACTTCACGAACAAAAGCAGGAAGAGGAATAGGAATCAGAGAGGCTGCGGGGCATGGTCGTGCCCGCCTGTGATCCCAGCCACTTGGGAGGCTAAAGCAGGAGGATCGCAAGTTTGAGGCCAGACTCAGCAACCTAGCGAGACCCTGTCTTAAAAATAAAATTTAAAAGGAGCTGGGGCTAGAGCTCAGTGGTAGAGCATCCCTGGGTTCGATCCATAGAACCATGGGGGGAAAAGAAAAAGAGAAGGAAGAAAAGAAAGAGAAAGGAAGGAAAAAAATGAATCAGCCCACCTCCTGGGGTTGTRTGTGGACCCAGTGAGATCACAGGTGTCAAATGCCCAGAAGTGTCAGGTATATCACCTGGTAACTCTGAGGCACTCAAAGACCAAAGGCAGCTTGGGGCAGAGGTGACCAGATTGCCTCCCTGGTTCTTGGCCCTGTTCCTGCCATCCCTGGGAGCCAGACCACCTGGGTCTCGGTCACTTCCTTTTCTTTTTGCACTCGTTTCTTGGGGGACCGTGTGATAACTCAGTCCCTGAATACCATGGGCACACACAGCCCTGAGCAAATCAGTTCCCACTCTGGGTCTGTCCCCTCATCTGTAAAACTTGGACCCTCRCCCTGCATGGTGGGAATCGTTTCAGGGTGAGATTAGGCTGGGGGCTGCAGCAGAGGGACTGAGCGGCCATCAATGAGGGCAGTTTGCTCTGATTTGAGGTTAGGGGTGCTGTTGAAATGATACAGCAGGGGCAGGGTACCGGGCTTCTCTGGGCCTAGGACAAAAGGAAGAATGGTCTTTGATGTCCTCTCCCAAGGTAGAAAGGACMTTCCGGGGGGTTCAACAGCAGCAGGGCAGGGACATTGGGGTGCAGGTGCTGGGATCCTGCCTGAGCTCTGCCCTCTGCCCCCAGGCCTCCTGTCTGTGCTCACTCCTGTGGTCCTGGGACTGAAGGCAGTGACCTTGGCTGCACTCCTACTGGCCCTGGCTGCCTGCCGGCCAAGAAGATTTTAAGACCCTGGGCCTTGCGGAGCTGGACACAGCTTAGCGTGGGGAAAGCTCATGAGTGACAGGTCAGCCCAAGAGTAGATGTTCTGAGTTGGAGACCAGCCAGACTCTTCAAACACTCCTCAGCCTCCCACCCCAGCCTCCACCAACCCCCAGGCCTCATGACAAACTCTATCCCATCACCTGGTTGCGGTCACCTGGTGAAATTCTCCCCTTGGTGCTGGGCTCCCGTTGGAGATGCGCATCTCTCTCTTCTCAGCCTGCAAGACCTCACCCCTGCTGCAGCCCCTTCTGGGGAGTCCCCTCCTTCGGTGCCCTCCCATATCTTTCTTGTCCTTCAAGACACAATTGAGAATCTTCTTCCCAGGTTCCCTGGGCATCTGAGCTCACCCAGCCAGACAGATGGTGCCTCTCTGTTCACATCCCCCTCTCCCGGCTTCCTCCTCCCTCCTTTCCCAGTGTGGCTGGCTTGGATGGGTGTGCTGTGACAGTGCAGGTTTGGCAAAATAAATAAATACAAGCCCTCAAATAACAGTGGCTTAATCAAGAAAGTTGATTTCTCTAGGAAAATCTGACCACAAGCCGGGCAGGCAATAAAGAGGCTCCCTGGTATGGACACACCTTGACCTTGTTGCTAACAGGTCTCATTCCAGGCAGTGAAACTGGGAAAGAAGTCAGGGAAGGGGGAATATGACCTTCTCCTGTAAGGGCAGGGTCAGGAATTTGCCCACTGCGCACCTCATWGGCTGGAAGGTGGTCACATGGCCACTTAGGTAGGTGTTCAGGAATACCGAGATGGCGGAAGCAGGGTATAAGAAGGATGCCACCGGAGGACTAGACAGGGAGACAGGGCAGGTCCCTACTTACAGTAAAGCTCGTTTACCATGGCAACTCCTGCCACAAGTTCAGTATTTTAAAATGATCAAGGGGGTAAAGTGGACAGCATTCAAATTAGGTATCAAAGGCAATCAATGCAAATTGGGGAGGTCTTCAATCAGGTCGGTAAAGGGAAGAGAACACCTCACAGCCCAGCATGTAAGACACTTATATCCAGACATCAGGCCTTGAGCCCCTCTCTCTTGCTGAGTCACTCTGCTCTACCTAAGGGCCGGAGCGCCACTTCCACCTTCACCTTCAGTCACCTGTACTTTGCCTGTTACTTCTGTGTGTCTTGCCCATTTCTTTGGGACACCAAGGACCTGGACCCCAACTAGACTGATGATAGCAGTCACCCCCAGCTGCAAGGAAGGCTGGGAATTATAGCCTTTATTCTGGCAAAAAAAAAAAAAAAAAAGGTGCCCAACTGAAAATTTTCACTAGAGAACTGGAGGGTAGATATTATGGAGTAACCGGTGACGTCCAGGTCAATGTTGCAAAGGCAGCCAGTTCGATTCCCACCTGTACCACCACCTCTTTCCACCATCACCTCCACCAAGGAGCATAATGTGGTGCAGCAGTTCTCAAGAAGAGTGGTTTTGTGACTGGGGAGACTGAGGCAGGAGGATCGCAAGCTCAGAGGCTAGCCTCAGCAACTTAGTGAGACCCTGTCCCAAAATAAAAAAGGAAAAGGACTTTGGATGTAACTCAGTGATAAACAATCCTCAGTACCAGAAGAAGGGGGAGGAGAAAGAAGAGGGGAAAGAAGAGGGGAGGGGGAGGAGGAGAAGGAGGAAGATGAAGAGCGTGATATTGCCCCCACCACCTGTCTGGATGTTAGATTTTGGCAAGGTCAGAGACAGTTTTGGTGGCCACAATTTAGGAGTTGCTAGCGCCATCTAGTGGGAAGAGGCCAAGCGTGCTGCCAAGCATCCTATAATACCTGGGAAAGGGCAGATGGAGGGGTGGGGGGACACAAAGCCCTGTCTGCCCCAGTATGTCCGCAGGGCTGACAGCCAGAAGCCCCAAGCAGACACACCTGGCCTCCCCACCCTCACTGTGGGCGCTTAGTGGCTAATTAGTCACTTCACCTCGCAGAACATTTAAAATAACCCTGTGGAGTTTTTGGAAGTTCAGAAGTGGTTCGATTTCAAGGGGACGGACTGCGCGCATCGTGGACCCTCAACACAGGCGCATTGCCTTTCCTCCTCCCACGCCAACACTCATTAGCACCTACACGGAAGGAAATTGGTGGGTGTGGATGGTTTTCGTTACAACAGAGAGAGAAACAGCTTGAACTAAGCCAAAGAGGACACTAATTGAGTCTGAGAATCGAATGAATTATTCTATTTGCAGACCTTGGAAAGGGTAGAGGGGTAGGGTTAATAAGGCCCCCTCCCATTGATAGCCGCATCCTGATCTGGAGCTCGTGAAGGTGGCCTGACCTGGAAAAAAGGTGGGGGAGGGGACTTGGCAGGTGTGATTAAATTAACCATCCTGGCATGGGGCCATGATCCTGGCTGATCCAGCTGGGCCCTCAATGCCATGGCAAGTGTCCCTGTAAGAGAGAGAGGGCGAGGGAGACCTGATGGAGAAGAGCAGACAGTGATAGGGCCACAATGAGAATCCTCATGGTGTGGCCACAGAGTCAGGGAGGTGGGCAGCCACCAGCATCTGGAAGAGGCCAGGAAGGATTCTGCCCCGGAGGCTGGAGGCAGCCTCGATTTCAGAAGTCTGCCCAGAACAAAGAGAAAATCAATGTTGTTTTGAATCACTGAGTTTGTGATAATTGGTTAGAGGAGCCCCTGGAGGCCAGGGCAGCCGGAAGCAGGGGCTGGGCCTCCAGCAAAACTGCAGGGGAGTCCTGATCCGCCCCTGGAGCTTCTTCACCCTGCAGGGCCCTGAATGCACCCATTCCTCCTGCCTCCTCTGACTTCATCTTAAAGTGAGGCCTCTCCGGCAGCCACCAGGACCATGGCCACACCAAGCCCCCTGATTCCAGTGTCTCCTTAACTGTTTCCTTCAGGAGGCCTCTCATTCCACCCCTGATGGCACCTCCGTCACTCTCATTTCCCTAAAGCCACTAGAGTTTTCTTCATAGACCTACTGCTACCTGGGAAAAAGTAAAAGCCAGGCACAGTGGTGCACACCTGTCATCACAGTGACTCAGGAGGCTAAGACAGGAGGATCACAAGTTCCAGGCCAGCCTGTGTCGAGTTCCCTGCGACTTAAACACTCAGACCTTTCGCCCACCCAGGGACACCATTTGCAGGGTTGCACAAAACACTCAGGGGTCACTCAAGGGGAACTGGGTTAATTTGGCTGTGCAAAATAATCACACAAGAGACAGACATACTTTTTTCTTTGTGGATGCTGTGACAACTCCTCTTGTAAGGATCCGGCGGAGCGTCGGAGAAAGAGACCACACAAGAGACTGGCTCCATGCAATTGGCAAAAGGGGATTCATTGGGGATCCATTCCAGGGCGCTGGGGCTCCGTGCTCACTCAAGAAGGGAGAGCAGCCCAGAGCCCAGAGCAGAGGTCAAGCGAGGTTAAGTACACTTTCTGGAGAGGGTGGTGGGCTTTGCATACATCAGAACAAATCATCATGCGGCGCAGGAAAATTGAACAACAACTCTGAGACGTGATTGGCACATTCATTGGCGGGAACAGGTCGGGCGGGGGTGATTGGTCACTCCTAAGAGGGATACACATTCAAACTGATTGGTTCGGGCCCTGTGACAAACTGCACAGGGCCCTAGGCTAAATGGCCAGTAGGGTGTTGTCTTAACTATCTCAGGAATCTGGGTGTAACAGAGGAACTTAATAAAACCTAATCTTTTACATTTTAATTCAAGCTTTCCAGCTTAGAAACTTTACCCTTTCACTCTAACCTTAAGGGTCCACAGAAAGAGAGGTGGGGGGGAGAGCCTGCAAGTGCTGAGCCCTTTTATTGAGGAGAAGCTATTCAAATGAGGCCAGGGGTCAGGTTTCAAGGGGCTGGGTCTAGTTTCATGGTGTCTGCTGTCAGCAGGTTGACTGACATCTAGGAAGGCCACACCCAAGGGCACAGTAAGAGAAGGGGACACACAAAGGGTGTTTCCATGGAACATTCTATCCCAAAGAGGGCAAGGGGGTAATATCACAAAGGAACAGGTGAGCATAGCTCCACCCACAGGGATGTAGGAAGACACGCCCAGGCAGGAGACACAGTCGCTTGCACCCTAAAGATCCGGGCTATGGTCTGGGTTACCTACACAATCAGATCACAGAGTGACCAGACAATGCCGCACTGGTCAGAAGGGGAAACAGACATGGTCACGTACTATGTCGGCCTCCCACAAGCCTGGGCAATTTAGCAATATCTTGTCTCAAAATAAAAAATAAAATGGGCTGTGAATGTTGCTTAGTGATAGAGCACCCATGGGTTCCAACCCCAATTCTGGAAAAAAAAATGAGTTGTAGGAGTGTGTGTGTGTGTGTGTGTGTGTGTGTGTGTGTGCGCGCGTGCAAACTAGCATAGCCCTAAGCAACTTAGTGGGACCCTGTTTCAAAAAGTAAAAAGGGCTGGGCTGTGGCTCAGTGGTTAAGCACCCTTGAGTTCAATCCCCAGGACAAAAGGGGGAAAAAAAGGAAGAAAGCAAGCATGGTATTCGCACGATGGGATACTGTCCAGCCATAAAGATGAAATCCTGTCACTTGCAGCATCATGAATGCCCCTGGAGAAGGTTATTTTGAATGAAACCAGGGAGACCTGGGAAGACAAATATCCATTTTCACTCATTGAAGGAAACCAAGAAGTCAACCTTGTAGTGTAGAAGTGGAAAGAGAACAGTGGTTGCTAGAGATGGGGAAGGGCAAGCAGGAGAGGGGATGGAGGAATTAGGAGGGGCTGTTAGAGCCTGGGACAGATGCCAGGGAGAGGGAGGGCTGAGAGTGGAAGGGGGTTGGGCACATTCAATGCATGAGGTGAATGTGTACAGAAAGACCCCATCAATGTGCACAATTAATATGTGTTAGTGATAATCATTTTAAAAACAAAGACCACTGTATCCTCCCCTCAAGACACACAGCTCAGGTGCCACTATATGCCCTTGGGTTGAGGAAGCAAGAGTGACCAGGCCTAGCCAAGCACAGTGTAATATGCTTTGATCTCTCTATAAATGACCCTATATATGCACACTTTGCTACAGAGACCATTCCCAGCCTTGATTTTTGGGTTCCACACCTGAGGTCTATCCAGGTGGATTACCTGATGCTCTAGTTTATTTGTGTACACGGTTGTATAGTATTCCTTTGTAGTCATGTATTTGTGAATTCCACTGATGGGTAGAAACCTCAGTTGTTCTGGCATCTCACTATTACAGAGACTGGTTCTTTACATTCTGGTGCACACATGCAAGTTTCCCTAGTGCACAGCGACAAGTAGAATTCACAGGTCATCAGCTCTGCTGGGTTTGCCAAGTTGTGTTCCAATGGTTACAGAGCCCCTCTGAGACCCTTCGGGGTCCATTATTCTTTCCTGTTTCTCTTCTTGTTGTCCCCAGCACTCCTGCGTGATCAGCACAGGCATGACCTAGTCAGAGATGTGAAGCATCTTTAGAGAAAAGCAAGGCATACACCAAGTGTCTAGA